GTGAGAGGAAGAACAGAAAGAAGTAGGTATGACAGCAGTGCCCTGAGGGCAGTGGATTCACCGCAGCCCTGTGCTCAGAGACTTGGCAGATTCCATCCTGCCACAGCAACAAGGCCTAGAAATGAAGCTTTGCTTAAGGAAATTAAATTTTATCAATTACAGTAAGTGATTTGCCACTCACTTTAATTCACGTCATTCGCTTTAATCAGGTACATCTGACTTAGGAACGAATCTGAACTATTTTTGCAGCCCTGAGACAGAAAAGGAACATAAAAACCAGCACGTGCCAGCCAGGATAAAGGCCTGGGGGGGAAGAGGAACCTGAGGGCCAGGGAACATGAAGCAGCACTGCCCACCCCCAGGAATAACAGCAGAGAAGGAACAAACACTTACATATTTTTCTTCAAACTTCCTTGCAAGGGCCTCCACTTTGTGCCTTTCCTTTTCCTCATCATTAAAAGGATCAGTTGGATCTTTCTTCTGTAAAAATAAAAGAGAGACAACCATCAGAGTCAATGCTGCCAACAAAACACCATGAATTAAACCCATCCTGGCTGGAGCACCAGACAAATCAGCCTCGCTTTGGGACAGGCTTTGGGACAGGCTTTGGGACAGGCTTTGGGACAGTTCTGTTCCACACCCTCCTCAGGGACATGGACAGGGGGACCACAACCCTCAGCGTGTTCGGAGATGGCACCAGGCTGGGTGGGGTGGTTGACTCACCTGAAGGGTGGGATGGGGCATGCAGAGGGACCTGGATAGGCTGGAGAAGTGGGACCATGGGAACCTCACGAGTCCCAGGAGAAGGATCTGGGGATGCTGGTGGGTGAGGGGCTGGACATGCCCCAGCCCTGTGCCCTGGGCTGATCCCACAGCATGGGCAGCAGGGGAGGGGGAGATTCTGCCCCTCTGCCCCCTCAGGTGAGACCCCCCTGCAGAGCTGCTCCAGATATGGGGAACCAACAGCACAAGGACCTGGAGCTGCTGGAGAGAGTCCAGAGGAGCCCACGGGGATGCTCCCAGGGCTGGAGCCCCTCTGCTCTGGAGCCAGGCTGGGAGAGCTGGGGGGGTTCCCCTGGAGAAGAGAAGGCTCCAGGGAGACCTGAGAGCCCCTGCCAGGGCCTAAAGGGGCTCCAGGAGAGCTGGAGAGGGACTGGGGACAAGGGATGGAGGGACAGGACAAGGGGGAATGGCTTCCCACTGTTAGAGGGCAGGGTTAGATGGGATATTGGGAAGGAATTGTTCCCTGTGAGGGTGGGGAGGCCCTGGCACAGGTTGCCCAGAGAAGCTGTGGCTGCCCCTGGATCCCTGGAAGTGTCCAAGGCCAGGTTGGACGGGGCTTGGAGCATCCTGGGCTGGTGGAAGGTGTCCCTGCCCAGGGCAGGTGGTGGAATGGGATGAACTTTAAGGTCCCTTCCAACCCAAACCACTCTAATTCTGAGAGTGTCTCTCTTTTGGATGCTCTCTCAACTAGTTCTGTACCTGTCTCTGCTTCTCCCAACTCCCAAAAAACCTCTAAAAATAAGCAGTATTAAACATTACCTGACTGCTAACAGTTCTGAAGAGCAACAGTAAAAATTAGTAGAATCCAGACAGTTTCTTTCCATAGAAAACCACTCATAATACAAAGTTTAGATTCTACAGGAGTGTGCATGTCATTGTATCCTGAGAAATGGCTTTTGACAGCAAAGAGAACTGTCAGGTAACACCTGAAAGCAACCACATCCCCCACACAGGAGGAGATACCAAGGACTGAAATGAAAATATTGATGTGCAGCAGAGCACAGTCCTCAAAAAGATACAGCCACATTGCACAGAAACACCCCTCCTTTGGTGCTCTCTGGAAAAGAGCAGGCCAGGGACCAAACCCCACCTCAGATCAGGCCACTCCAAACTGAACAGGCTTTACATCCCACAGCCTGCCAGCAACACACCACCTTTCCAGCCAAGGCAAAGCAGTGCCACAGTGTGGCCTGACACAGAGCCCTGCCTGGTGGGATGTTCCAGTGCCCTCCTCCCCCCTCCCAGCAAACACAGAACCAGCTCCCAGAGCAGCAACGCTGAGACAGGCACGGCACAGGCTCCCAGAGGCCAGGAGGGCAACTCACCTTGTCAGCCGAGGAGCTCCCTTTGACCCTCCCCCGGCAGCTCTTGAGCAGGTCTGGGTAGAAGAACTCGGGGCAGCGCTTGTGGTCGGGCTCGAAGAGGGTCAGAGTGATCCGCACGGCCGTGGCCGCCGGCTCGGGCTCCGGGGGCTGCTCCCCGTCCTCCCTGCGGGACCTCTTGAGGAAGCTGCTGCTCAGGGGGCCGTGCAGGGTGGTGAACGACACCCTGTGGGGCTCTGTCATGGCTCTGGCCAGGGCTCAGCAGCGCTCACGGCATCGTTCCCTCCGCATCGGGGAAGGGATGACGGAGGGATGGCACCGCCGGCTGACGAGGGTGGTGGGTGCTGGCAGCCGGACAAGCCCTTCGGTTTGGGAGTTTTCCTGGGAAATGACAGAGGGCTGTGCTGCCAGCGCCTGCTGCAATTGTTGGAGAGAAAGAAAGAGTCAGTCAGTCCTCGCAGCAGAATCCCCTCCAGCGCTGGCAGCCCCCCACTGCCCCTCCTGTCCATCCCCGGCTCTCGCTCCTCACACCGCGCCGCTCCGTGCGTACGGGCTGCAGGAAATCCCTCTGCCAGGGAACCGAAACGGCCCCTCCGGGCGGTCTGCGACAGGGCCCGGCACCCCCGGGCACGAACACCGGCCTGGGGCTGCACCTCCCGGGGCCGCGGCTGCGCTCGGGCCGCCCGTTGTCCCGCGGCACGGAGGGCCGGACAGCCTGGGGAGCGGGGCGGGGGCGCCGAGCGGGCCCCGAGGCGGCGGTGCCGGTGCCGGTGGCGGTGGCGGTACCGGAGCCCCCTCCCCTGCCCCCCCCCCTCCCCTCACTCACCCTCCGCTCCCGGCCCCGCTCCGGCCCCGCGCCCGCGTCACGTGGGCGGCGCTGCCCTCGCGCCGGGGCCGCGCGCGCCGCGGCCAATCACGGGGCGCCGCCGCGGCCGCGCCTCGCGCCGAGGGCCCGCCCCGCGGCACGTGATCAGGGCGGGCCAATCCCGTCCCGCCGGCACCGCCCCGTCCCGGCGGCCCCCGCGGCGCGGGAGGGAGGGGCGGCAGCATGGCGGCCATGGCGGCCCCGGGGAGCCCTCAGCGAGCGGCACCGCCGGCGCTGAGCGGGGCCGGGCCGCCGGGCACCCGCGACCGGCGCCGAATCGGGAGGGCTGTGAGGCGGCGGCAGCGGCGGTGGATGTTCGGGGCTCTCGGAGCGGCTGCCCGCGTCGCCATCACTCACCGAGCACCGGTAGAAGCCTCTGGGAAGCAGCGTCCGTCCTCAGGGCTCCTCACGTCCCAGGAGCGTTTAAACAAGCTCAGGTTTATTCCGCAGGATGAAATACAACTTGGGGAATGTGTAACTATAAGGGGAAACAGTTATACAATACAGCCAAAGAGATGGGTGTTGTGGACGAGGCTGGACCCCCGGAGGGCTGTGCTGGCAGACCCCGACTACAGGATGACAAACTGCCAGCGGACCCTGAGCCACTCTGGACTGGCTCCTCCAGCTGGGTGTGCTGGGAGACGATAGGATCCATCCCAGGGATCCATCCATAGAGCTGCTGATGCCGTCGTGGGACTGCTCTGCTATTTTTCAGCGGTTTGGGGAGTCTGGAGAGATCTCTGTTGACTGGTAAATGTCCCAGTTTTCAAGCAGGAAAGAAGAAAGGTCCTGGAACCTCCAGGCCTGTCAGTCTCCACTCAGTGCTTGGTAAAATTATGGAGAAGGTCATTCAGGGAGTTACTGAAAAACACTTAGAGACAAGGCAGTCATCAGTCACAGCTGGGGGTGCTCACAGGGGAAGGTCCTGCTTTACCTGCTTCATATCCATTTGGGACAAGCTCAGGCATCAGTGGCATAGAGTCACAGGGTGGGTGATCTGTTCTCAGCCCCCTGCTCCAGCAGGGTTATCCCAGAGCACACGGCACAGGATTGTGTCCAGGAGGTTCTGGAATATCCCCAGTGAGAGACACTCCACCCCCTCCCTGGGCAGCCTGTCCAGTGCTCGGTCACTGCACAGCAAAGTTCTTCCTCCTGTCCAGGTGGAGCTTCCTGGGCAGCAGTTCCTGCCCGTTCCTCTTGTGCCATTGCTGGGCCCCCTGAGCGGAGCCTGGGCCATCCTCTGCCCCCTCTGACACACCCTGGGGAGATCCCCACCCTTGTGTGCTCTGGAGGCTGAACAGCCCCAGCTCCCTCAGCCTTTCCTGCTCCCAGAGATGCTCCAGCCCTTGGGCATCTCTGCAGCCTCCACTGGACCCTCTCCAGGAGCTCCCTGTCCCTGCTGGGCTGAGGAGCCAGGGCTGGACCCAGCACTCCAGATGTGCCTCCCAGGGCTGAGGACAGAGGCAGGATCCCCTCCCTGACCTGCTGGAAATGCTCTTCCTCACACACCCCAGGATCCCACTGTCCCCTGTCCCCCCCAAAAGGGCCAAGTGTGTCCTGGGGTTCAGTGGTCGAGGGAGGGGATTGTCCTGCTCCACCCTGCACCTGGAGCTTTGTGTTCCACCAACAGTGCTGGGAGGAAACCACAGAGGGAACAACTTAAAAGCCATTTCCCATCCCGTAATTTCAGCCTTCTTCCACTTTCCAGTACCCTGTATTGCTTGGCTGATGGCACCAGCTCAGGCCCAACTCCTCAGCAAAGGCACTGCTCAAAATCCAGGGCAAAGCCCCAGGAGCAGGAGCCAGGGGCTGATCACAGGCCCTGCAGGGACTGGCAGGGGGTTGGCATCCAGTCAAGAGGCTGGTACACAACTCTTTGATGGTGCCCAGAGACAGGCCTTCACCTCCTCCAGCTCTGACACACCACTGGTGCACCCAAAACCTCCCTCCAGCTGCTGCCTGGGCTGGCCTGGCTATTTCTGCCAAGCACCTGCAGGCTCCTGCCCTCAAGAGCCCCGAGAGGAAGCACAGACAGTTTCTACTTTTATTCTTACAGTTTAACAGAGCCTTGGACAGAGGAGAAGCAGCAGGAACCAACATGCAAAGCAATTAAAGTCATGGGGGCTGGAGGAAGCCCCAGCCCAGCCTGTCCCCCCTCACCCAGCGGCGCCTCTGGGGCCCTTTCCCTGCACTGGGGCTGCTCCCTCGGGCCCCAGAGAGGGACGAGTTCATGGCAGACACCAAACTGCACCCAGGGAGGAGGAGAGGACTGGCCTGGACTGTGCCTTGAGGAGTCAGGGCTGTTACTTGACTGGAGTCCACTGTGCTTTGAAACTGGGAGAGCACCTCAAATCTCATCTGTGCCAACAAAAGAGGGATCCCTCACGAAAAAGCAGTGGCAAGAAATGATGCTCAGGGATTTGGCCACAGTTCACCTGTGTCACAGAGCTGGCACCTCCTGGAGCCAACAGCTCTTTTCAGTGCCTCTATTAAACAACAAATGAAACCTTCCTCCCGCTCTCTTCACACCTCAGTTCTTTACTTTGCCAGTGTCTCCTGCAGCCCTGCTGCAGCCACAGGCTGGGCTCAGCCAAGTGGAGGAGTTCCAGGAACAAATGGGATCTGTCAGGTATTCAGAGCTGTAGGCAGGCTCCTGGAAAAGGCCAAGGCAGGAGCAGCCAGGCTGAGGCAGTCGGGCCAGCTGAGGGAAGGCAAGGGAGGCCCCACTGGAGGGAGACCCCCAGCCCAGAGTGGGAGTGAGGCGAGTTCTCTCTGCCCCCTGCAGCTACAGAGCTGGGGAGCCAGACAGAGTGGGACAGGCCCTGAAGGCACAGGTAAAGCTCACCCTACACAGAGGAAAGCCCCAGGGGATCTCATTCCCCAGGTTTAACCAGGTCCCTGTTCCATGGCAGGATGCCATGTCCCTGTCCCTGTCCTTACACTCCAGAGCCAGCACAGCCCTGAGGAGCTGGGGGGCCCACTGAGAGCTCACAGGGGGTGTCCAGCCCATCACAAACTGGGTCTCCAGGTACCCTCCCAGCAGGGAAGCTCTACTGTCAGACAAAGATCTCAGGCTCTCCCAGAGCTCAGTGACAGGACTCCACAGCCTGCACTGTGCACAAGAGAGGACTAAATAATCCTCCTAGTCCTTCCTGAGCCCCAGATCCACAAATCCTTCCCTGCCTCACTCTCCCCCTTCTATCCCTTGGCTGCCCCAGTGCTGCAGCTTCCCCAGCCTGTGTCAGTCCCCACACAGGGACAGTGTGGGACCGAGGGTGCAGGGTCAGGCCAGGGCTGTGCAGCCCCAGAGAACCAGAGCACAGCTGGAGAAGCTGCTTCCCTGCTCCCAGTCCAGGAACTGGAGCCAGAGAAACTGCATTTAACAGCCCTTGGAGAATCTTCTTTCCATGGACTCGCTGATCGCGTCTGGAGCTGGGTGGGGTTGTGAATCTTCCCCCATACCCCACAGCAGCCTCGTTCTTTAAAAGCCTTTGGTGAAAAGCCTTCTAGAAATGCAGGTAAATTCTATCAATCCCACCACCTTGTCATGACCAGCACCTCTCCCAGCAGCAAGGAACACACATTGTCCTGCACCAGGCAGGGCTGGGAACACCCAGGGACTGGCCCAGAGTGGAGGACGTACTTCAATAAATCAGCTTGAGCTACTTGGGATTTAAGATACTGCAGCAAACAGAGCAACAATGCTACTTACTAGGGCAGAGAGGAAAAAAAGAAACAGTTATTCTTGGCAGGAGCTGAAGCACATTGTTCCAGACACAGCCCAGCTCCCAGGACCTCACAGGCAGAGCAGGAATCCCACAGCAGGATCCCCAGCCATGAAACGGATGGCAATGTCCTGTGTCCCCTCAGGAAGGTGTCCCTCCCTCACTCGTAGATCCAGTGCTGGGCCGTGTCCTCCCAGCACATGAGCTCCTCCGGGCGGAACCACAGGGAGATCTCCTGCTGGGCACTCTCCACTGAGTCACTGCCATGGATCACATTCCTGGGGGGAGGAGACAGGGATCAGCTGGCACTCAGCACGGGAAGGTGGAACAGGATGCTGGAAAATTTCCCCTTGACCAGTTTAATTAAAGCAATGGAGCCAGTCCCATCCCACAATATTCTTTCCCACCACACACGCCCCCCTTCTTCCAGCTCAGGGTGTGGGACATGGATGTGCAGGAGCTGCCCGTGCCCAGAACTCCTTCCTCCTATGATGAGGAGCCATTTGTTTGCTCCAGGAGGAGCTGCAAGTGGTTTGTTTGTTTTCATGTCAGTAGTTCCAGCTGTGCCTCCAGATTTTCCCCCTCCCTTCTGCCAAAGGTGGTTTGGTATCAGACACCCAGGAACAGAAACCTCAGCCAGGAGGGTTCAATGTGAGCCATCTCTACCACAGGCCAGGCTGTGGCCACCTGAGGTCACCACCCACGGACCTTCACCTGCTCCCAGGAAAGGGCTGAGAGGGCTCCTCCCTTGCTCTTCACAACCAGATTGCCAGAGGAAAACACAGGCAAACCCCATCTGCTTTCAACAGAGGCCTCTGGAAGAGGGAAGCAAACAAACCCAGGCTCCTCCTCTTGCCAAAGCCAGGCCTGGGAGGCAGAGCTCAGCTCTGGTGCGAGCACAGAAGGGAGCAGCTCTGCTCAGGGGTGCAGGCTCTCATGGCTCAGGCAGGCCTGGCACAGGAGTGTCTGCACAGGATGCCCTGAAACACTGAGGGAAGAAGAAGCCAGAGCTCTCACTTGCTGACTTCGACACAGAAGTCCCCTCGGATGGTGCCAGGCCTGGACTCGGCCGGGTTCGTCTCCCCGATCATCGCACGAACCGTCCTCACCACGTCCAGGCCCTGCCACACCTACGGGAGAGCAGAACCAGGATCAGCCCCCACAGCTGCCCCAGCACATCACATCTGTCCTCTGAATTCCCTCTGACCCACCTGGGGGAGAGACAGGAAAGGATCTCTCCAAATAGCCTTCAAAATTAGATTTTGGAAAATAGTCAGAATTGTCTGTGGATTTCTCCAAATCCCTAGAAGTGCTCAAGGCCAGGCTGGACAGGCCTTGGAGCAACCTGGGATAGTGGAAGGTGTCCCTGCCCATGGCAGGGGGTGGAATGAGATGGGCTTTAAGGTCCTTCCCGTCCCAAACCAGGCAGTGATACTACAATTTAAATTTACCACAGAGAACATCCCTGCAGGTCAGCACAGCTTCAAGAGACCCTCTGAGGAGAGAAGTCACCTTGTTTCCATCATGCCAACAGCCAGTGCTGCTGTAACCTTGCCCTTCCACCCTGTCCCCCGGTGCAGAGGACAGGGCCACACTCACCATGGCCACCACTGGCCCGGAGCTCATGTACTTCACCAGGCGGCCGTAGAAGGGCCGGTCCCGCAGGGCCACGTAGTGCTCCCTCAGCAGCTCCTCCGAGGCCTGCAGAGAGCACAGAGCTTGGCTTAGCTACCTGAGGGATGCAGGGAAAGCTGGGTGCTGTGTGTTACAATCCAGCTCCTGCACAGATCCTCAGTGCCAGGAGGGAACCAGCAGCAGCCTGACACAGAGAGGAGTTTCCACGTGCCAGCTCAGTGCCAGCCCTGGAGCACGGACACAGCCAGGGACAGCCGTGCTCCCCACAGCTGGGAGGCAGTTCAGGCACCTGGGTGCCAACACCCCTGTGCCCTGTGAGGGTTTGGTGCTGGTGCTGTACAAGCCTGATGACAGCAGAACCCCCGCAGTTACCAGCACAGCCAGGGCCTGGAGGGGCTCCTTGGCTCCAGGGACCCACCTGAATCAGCTTCATCCCCACGAGCTGCAGCCCCTTCCTCTCGAAGCGCCGGATGATCTCCCCCACCAGGTGCCGCTGGACCCCGTCGGGTTTGATGGCCACGAAGGTGCGTTCATTGATCCCGCCGAGGGCTGCGGGGACAGGGCACAGGGGTGAGGGGGGGAAGGAGACCCCCCGGGCCTGCGGGGGCACGGGGAGGTCCCGGGATCTCAGTGCTGGGGCACGGGGACAAGGGGAGGTCCTGGGCTCTCAGGTGCGGGGGCGCAAGGGCAGGGGGTGTCCCACGACCCCGGGGGGGAAGGGAAAGGCTCCTGGTCCTCGGGCACAGGGGAACAGGGGCAGGAGGGGGGCACAGGGACAAAGGGTCACAGGGCGGGTCCCAGGACTTTCGGACGCTGAAGGACACGGGCAGGGGGTCCCAGGCCCGCGGGGGCACAAGGGCAAGGGTGGGGATCCCGGTCCCTGAGCCGCGGGGGCAGAGGACAAGGAAGGTCCCGGGCCCTCAGGCAAGCGGGCAGAGGGGATCCCGGGCCCGCGAGATCGGGGGAGTCCCGGGCCAGCGGGGGCGCGGGGTCGGGGGGTGCCGGTGCCGCCCGTCCCGCACCGCTGTGGAAGAGGCCGGCGAAGAGCCCCAGCACCAGGCAGATCATGGCGGCGCCGCTCTTAAAGGGGCCGCGCTCCCCCCGCGCCGCCGCCGCCCCCCGCGGAACCATCGCGGCCGGCACGCGGAGCGGCGGGGCCGAGACACGGGCACACCGGGACCGGGCCGCTCCCATGGCAACGGGCGGGGCCGAGACACGGGGACACCGGGACCGGGCCGCTCCCATGGCAACGGGCGAGGCCTGGGCCTGGGCCGCCCGAGCCCCGCGGGGCCGGGGGTCCCGGGGAGGCCGATGGAGGCCAAGGGGCCCAGCTTCACTGTGCGAGGTGTCCCACCCGCGCCCTCCCGGCCCCGCAGGGCTCGGGGAGCTCGGCTGTGCAGGGCACGTGGTGCTGGTTTAGCTTTGGGTGCAGGATCCCAGCTGTCAGTGTGCTCTCATGCTCAGGGGTCGTTATGAAGACACACGAAGAGCCCCCCAGTCCAGGGCTCCGTTACCGGCTGTCAGGAACACTCACCTCTTGGTTCAGCTCCGGGATCAGCCTCTGGAAATACCTGCACCTGAAATACCTTCTCCGGGTGCCTCACGGAGGCTGAATCCGCTTCCAGACCCGCTTCCAGTCTGTTGGTCTCGTTCAGAGACAGAGTCTGCTCGCTCTGCCCTGGTCAGGTCACGGCTGGGTTCTCTCGGTTCTCCGGCCTGCAGGGACCCCGCTGCTTTACCCAGCACGGCTTTGAGCGAAGAATTCCCGCATTTGCACCAATAAAATAACCAGAGGTTGTATCCTGGGGACCCATCGCATGGCTTTGCCTCAGGAAGGCTGTCTCCGTCTGCTCCAGGACAGTTCGCTTGTGGAATTTGCTGCCGAGTCGTGGAGGTGGGGGCGGTTCCAGAGGCTTTCCCTTCTCTCGCTGGGAGCTCGGTGCCGGCAGAGGGAGCGCCCTGCCTTCATTCACCAGCTCTCAGCACCTTCCTGCCTTCATTCACCCAGCCCTTCTCACCTTCCTGCCTTCATTCACCCAGCCCTCGGCACCTTCCTGCCTTCATTCACCAGCTCTCAGCACCTTCCTGCCTTCATTCACCCAGCCCTTCTCACCTTCCTGCCTTCATTCACCCAGCCCTCGGCACCCCGAGGTCCATCCCGCTGCCGACACGCCCTCCTAAACCGATGCGTTGATGTTTTTAAGGTGCACAAGCAGAAGGTCGTCAGCACTCCCTTATGTTCTCCGAGACGGCTGGGCTGTTGTGTTGGAAAATCTCAAACAAATCCCACCCGGAGCAGGTGTCTGGGAAAGGAAACAGCCCCCACGTGCTTTGCAAAGGTTATTCCAGATTATTCCAAAGCCACGTCTTTTAGGCTCAGTTTTAGGCAGGTGTGCCTTTAGGCTGAGCTCAGGAACCTGCAATAATCAAGAACGAGACCACAAGTCCTTCATACAGAGGTCTCCCTTGGGTACTCAGCATTCCCAGCCCAGATGTGTGCATGGAATGCTGCCACGGGCAACAGCTGCACATCTGGAGAAGGGTGGACAGCTTTGCTGCCTGGTTTGGGAAGCCCAGTGATCACTTCCTAAAGCCCTCCCTGGGAACCTGAAAGGGCAGGTGGCCCCTTCTGGTCCCCAAAACCCTCCCAATTCAATTTGGTTCCGTGGCAGGGGAGGCTGAGGGGGCTGTTCCTGTGCCCGTCCCTGCTGCAGGAATTCCAGACAGAGGCACAACTCTATTTTTGCTCTTGCTGGATAAAACATTGCAGATACTGTGGTTATATAAGGGACTCCAGATCGTGTAGGTGCAGATAACGTGGTCACCTCCCTCTGTGCAGTGCAGACAAAGGCCTTTTGTGTCCTTTCACTGTACTTTGCAACTTCTGCAGTTATCACTGCTTTTCCTCTCAGGCTCTTTTTGCACCTTTTGGCTTGTATTGGGGAGGATTTTTACCTTTCAGTTCAGCCACAGTCTTTCACCAGCACAGCATTGCCATAGCCTGGAGTGCTGGTGCCTCTTACAGCGTGGGCTCCTCACAGGTGCAGACCTGCTGTCTGCTTTCCTGCTGGACCCCCGATCCTACTGGAAGTTATTTCATCTTCTTTAGGATAAGGAGGTGTTGGTAAAGCCAGATTTCCTCAAGCACCTTTCCCCTGAGCCAGGTGACCCAGGTCTCAGAGCCAGACCCACACAAAGTGCTCTAGAGCAGAGTCACTCGGCCGAGTGAACGTGGGACAGACAAGAGGATTCCTTCAAAGCTGCCAGTGCTGCATCCTGAAACAGAGCTGTGACACAGAGGGGGTGGCTGGAAAGGAGAGGACCCGTAGGGGGAAGCTGTCTCTGAGTGCAGCAGGAGGTGTCCAGGCACATCCAACCCTGGGACAGGTGCTGCTGCCCCAGAGAGCGCTTTTCCATTCTCAGAGAGTTCATAAAAGATTTGTTTGAAAAGAGACATTCAGAGTACACAGCCCGGGAAACACTTGCATTTTGGAGCAGAGATTTGTGCTAGTTCTCACTCCTGTGCAGTCCTACAATGTTTTATTTAAGCCTGTGTTTCTTCCCTGAGAAATTCTCAGTCTGTCCATCCCCCAGTCCAAGGCTAGACAATGACAGGCTGGAAAAGGCAGTGCCAGTGAGGAGATCAGTGCTGATGCCCTGGGGACAGAGGTGAGCCAGGGGGCAGCAGGGCTGCTGTTCAGTGTCCCCTGAGATGTTCAGGGCCTGGAGCCCTTTCCTTGTCCCCTGAATGTCTCATTGTTGTGCTGTTCCCAGTGCCTGGGTTCTCCCTGTCCTGGAACATGCACAGCAGAGGAATCTCCTCCGTGATCACATCCAAAATCCCCTGCATAGATGCAGCTACAGTAGCTTGGTCTATCCTGTCTGAAATACTTCACAGAATCACAGAATGGTTTGGTTGGAAGGGACCTTAAAGACCATCTGATCCCATCCCCTGCCATGGCTTGGATCAGGTTGCATCCACTTGAATCCTTCACCTTGTCTGGCAATGGGATTGAGGAAGGACTTCAAACTCCATTTGAAGCCTCCTGTTCAGAGGGGCTCAGCCCCAGCCTGCCCTCCCCCAGCCCTCCACCCACTGCCCAGCTGTGAAAAGGGTTCTCAGTTCTTGCTCAGGTCTCTGCCTTGCAGAGTCTGTGTCCCTTTGTGCCCCCAGCACTGCTCCCTGTGATGTCCCAGCACTCATAAACTAGGTCAAACACCACCTAAACCCCGCCTTGATATCCCTTGCAGTAAATTCCTGCCCTGCCGGAGTGTGCTCCAGAGGGGTTTTACTCGTGGCTTACGGGGAGCTAAGAAGCGTGAGCAGCTTTGCTGCAGCTGAGTAAATAGAGCCGCTGCTCTGGGCAGCCCCGGCCCCTCCCCCGCCGGCACAGCCCGCCCAGGGGTGGGTCCCGCCCTGGAGCTCATTCAGAGAATCGCTGAGGTTGGAAAATACCTCCGAGATCATCAAGTCCAACCTTTGACCATCACTCTGTCCACGAAACATGTCCCCAGGTGCCACATCCACTGAGCACTGCTGGGGCTGGTGACTCCAGCGCTGCCCTGCTGCCCTCCCCAGCTGCCTGTGGTGGCCAGGGCTGACACCAGTGCTGCTGGCCCAGGGGTGAGGAGGGTGAAGGGCCTCGGGCTGTCCTGGCTCACCTGAGCCTGTCCTTGGCCTCTTGGTTGGCCTGTTACCTGTTTCACCTCTTGCTTCTCCTGTCACTTCTCCTCCAGGTGCTCCCAGAGGGCAGAGAAAGAGGGGACATTGGGAAGGAATTGTTTCCTGTGAGGGTGGGGAGGCCCTGGCACAGGTTGCCCAGAGAAGCTGTGGCTGCCCCTGGATCCCTGGAAGTGTCCAAGGCCAGGTTGGACGGGGCTTGGAGCAACCTGGGACTGGTGGAAGGTGTCCCTGCCCATGGCAGGAGGTGGAATGAGATGAGCTTTATGGTCCCTCCAACCCAAACGCCCCATTCTGGGATTCTGTGAAGTGGCTTTCCAGCTCTCTCTGGAGGGGTAGCACAGAACTGAGCATGTGTGAGGTCTTTTCCAAGTGATAGAGATTATTTCTTCTAAGTTTTATCCTCCATTCTGGTAAGTTTGGATGAAGGTTGTCATGATTCCTTGCTGTAACTGTGGGATTGAGCCCTGCAGAGAAGGTTGGGGTCTCCTAGAACATTTGTGCTGCTTCCTTCTCTTGTGTGCTCAAAGGCCTGTGAAGAATGCAGCACAGAAGGTGAAAAACTTCTGCTGAGTGACATCCCTGTGACATGGGACACCAGTGGAAAGACCAGACTTATGCCACCACATCTACCTCCTCCTGACATCCACCAACCCAACCTTGTCCTGGACCTGTCCTGGTCCCCACAGGGAACTGTGGGCTGTGTTTGGCACTCCTTGTTTTATCTGCCCGTGCTGGGAGCCCAGCCAGGGGAAGTGGACGATTCTCTTTCAGAACAAAGACTTGCACATCAATAAATGCCTTGTTGCAGATGTTTTCTTCATCCTCTTGGCTCTCATTTCCTCTTTTCAGCTGCCCCAGCTTTCTATTCTGCTGGCTGAAAACTGGGTCTCCTATGAGAGCTGAGGAACAGCTGGATCAGGGGCTGGGTGTGAGTTTGTCTCACCGCCTTTTAGGTGAGCTGTTCAACAAGCCTTGTGTTTTCAGCAACATGCCTTGACTTTTCATGTCCTGCTCTGGCTCTTTGTGGGGATTGCACCTGTGACTGTAGGTCCTGCTTGTGGCTTCCGTGGGCAGGTGGGTCCTGTTTGAGTTACTTGGGGAAACATTCACCAACTGTCAGAAGCAGCTGGCCAGAGAAACCCCATCCTTGGGGTGACAGAGCTCAGGGCAGGGGAGGGGAGTTTGATAACTGAACTCCCAACACGAGGAAATGCCAGATAAGCTCCAGAAAACTCCATGGGAAGTGGTGGGTTAGGATGGGATCCTCTTTTCCCGAAGCAAACACTGGTTTTTATTCAAAGGTAGCTGCAGCCAGGACAGTGGGGGTCAGGACCCCTCCAGTGCCTGCTGAGGTTTGGGATTGCTCACTGGGGCCTTCCCCAGGGACACAGAACCCCTGAACTTCCTCCCAAAGCCTTGCTGGCTCAGAGCAGTGGCAGCTGGACCCACAGAAATGGGAAAGTCCCTCCAAACCAGGTTCCTCCTTGCCATGGACTCCTCTGCCTCCATCTGCTGATGCTTGAAGTAGGTCCTGGGGAAGAGCAGCCGAGCAGTTTGGCCTGGCTGGGGCACCAATCCAGAGGCAGTGACAGAGCCTGACCTCCTGGAGTCAGCTTCTCATTCCAAGCATGTTCCCAGCAGAAGGGAGAGCTGTCTTCACTTCAGGATTTGGGATGTGAGAAGGAAAGGCAGGGAGGTGGGAGGCTCAATGGGGAGTAAGTGCACATGGCACCATAGGGTACCTAACCCTGTGGGTGTCTGTAATGGGAGTAGAGGAAAAGGCAGTGGCTGGAATTTGCTGGGAGGAAACCTGTGGACAGACCTGGATAAAGCCATTTCCCATCCATATTTCAGTCCTGTCCCACTTTCCCTTTGCAAGCTTTGTCCCCACTTCCTGACAGCACCAGCTCAGCCCTGAACCCTAAGCAAAGGTGCTGCCCACCAGAGGAGGGCTCACAGGCTGGGGAAAAGCCCCCCAGGCTGCCCCCAGGGACTGGCCTGGCACTGGCACCATTCCTGAAGGAGCTCAGAGCCTGTTCCCTGGCACCACTACAGAACTTGTCCAGGCCCTAATCCAGCATTTCCCTCTCAGCATGACTGAGAAGGCTGGGCAGGGGCTGCTCCGAGTCCCAGGCTCTGGGATGAGGATTTGGGGGGGTCTGTCCCCACCTGGCAGAGGATGGGCACTGTAAACCCTGCAGCCTCCCTTCCAGTGCTCAGCCAGGGCATCAGCCTGGCTCCACTGAGGATCATCCCAGCCACGCTGCTGCTTCAGGGGGAAGCACTGGAGCCCTGCACAGGGCACAGACAAGGTGAGCACTGCCTTCACCTCCTCCAGCTCTGACACACCACTGGTGCACCCAAAACCTCCCTCCAGCCGCTGGCTGGGCTGGCCTGGCTATTTCTGCCAAGCACCTGCAGGCTCCTGCCCTCAAGAGCCCCGAGAGGAAGCACAGACAGTTTCTACTTTTATTCTTACAGTTTAACAGAGCCTTGGACAGAGGAGAAGCAGCAGGAACCAACATGCAAAGCAATTAAAGTCATGGGGGCTGGAGGAAGCCCCAGCCCAGCCTGTCCCCACTCACCCAGCGGCGCCTCTGGGGCCCTTTCCCTGCACTGGGGCTGCTCCCTCGGGCCCCAGAGAGGGACGAGTTCATGGCAGACACCAAACTGCACCCTGGGAGGAGGAGAGGACTGGCCTTGAGTGTGCCTTGAGGAGTCAGGGCTGTTACTTGACTGGAGTCCAATACACTTTAAAACCGTGAGCCTGCCTTAATCATCACAGAATATCCTGAGCTGGAAAGGAGTCACAAAGATCATCAAGTCCAACTCCTGTCATCGAGTCCAACTTGTTAAATCTTCTCTGTGCCAACGGGGAGAAGAAGGATCCTTCAGGAAGAGGCGCTGCTTCGATAGCAAGTCAGGAGATGAAGCTCAGATATTTGACCATTGTTTTCCTGTGTCAGAGCTGGCACCTCTTGGAGCCAAGAGCTCTTCTCAATGCCTGTGATGGATGTCGAGGCCAAAGATTTCCACAGCGTAAGGGAAATCTTTGCCAGCAAGTAGCAATGGATGTCCCCGTGAAGGAAGAGGTGCATCAGGCCCAGAGGGGGCACAAACCCCCACCCCCAGAGGCATTATGTCCTCCTGCACCTCTTCCTCTGACAGGCCTCTGCGTCCGAGCAGGAGCTGTCCGAGTCGCTCCCCGAGGACGAGGAGGACGAAGGCTTCGACGTGCTATAGTTCATGCTCAGCACCCACCCCAGTTTGTTGTGCAGCACCTGCTTGAGTCCTGGGGGCAGGGGCAGCACGTCCAGCGTGTCCACGTAGTCGGGCAGGAGCTGGCGCAGGCGGAAGCAGCACAGGTACTGCAGGGACGTGCAGCTGGCACAGGACCGGATCACCTTCATGCTGCTCTTGGCCGCCGTCGAGCAAACCATGGGGTAAAACTTCTTGTTCTGCAGCTTGGTGGCCGCAACCCCTGCCAGGGCACAGCACCCATGAGTTTAGACCAGGGCACCTCGCTCCTCCTGCCTCCCCTGAACCCATTGGGAAAAGCCTTCTAAAATCCCAAACTATTAACCAGCAAATGAAACCTTCCTCCCACTCGCTTCACATCTCGGTCCTCTGCTTTGCCAGTGTTTTCTGCTGCAGCCAGACTGGGAGTTCCCCCCCTCCACCCCTCTGCCCGAGCCACTGCTCTTACCGATGCACTTGCGGTTCTTGAAGAACGTGAGCGTCCCGTGCCACGTGTCCAGATGCACCCCAATAATGGAGCCCTGGCCAAACCTCGAAGAGAAGTTCGTTTTGTCTCCCTTGTGATGCAGCAGACCTTAAAACACACAAAAAGAATGGCATTCTGTGGGAAAATTGCGCTCCAGGAAGTGACCCCAACTCCAGTGCTCGGAGTTCCTGCTGGGACAGCCTCACTCGGGGTCTGAAAGATCCATCCCATCCCAGGGTGGCCAATGGAATGGGGAAAGCTGAGGTTTTGCAACTCCAGAGCACAATCCCAAATTGGTGATGGGACAGTGGCACCCAGGTGCCCTGGAGGGTCCCACACCGGGTCTAAGGGCTCTGCAAAACACAACCAGGACTGATGCTCCAAGAGCTACCAGGAGCCACTCCGGGTGTCCTTAACAAAGGGACTCACATGTCTGGTGCCTGTTTGGCCTCGCCCTCCTAAGGAAGCTCTTGTGCCACTGCTGCCTGCCCGTGTTACCTGTGTAGGACAGTCCCCAGCTGTCCTCGTCCTTGCCCAGGAGGCTGCAGAAGGTGTGCCGGTACTTGTCCAGGTTCACATCCGACGTCCCAATTCCCACCATCTGGGAGCAAGGCCAGAAAGAAGAATGCAGGCTTAATGTCTTTTCAAGGAACAAAACACAATCAAGACTCCACTTCTGGCTCTCCCCTCCTCTTCTTGGTTCAGCCCAGAACACCCAGAGGGTTCGGTGAAGCCAAGTCACAGGTTTCAGGGTGGAGTTAAAGGCTCCCAGCTCCAATTTCCTTTCCTAAGTGAGGAGGCCCAGCTGAACAGCTGGAGAAGGTCAATGTCCTGTTCACAGAATCCCAGACTGGTTTGAGTTGGAAGGGACCTTCAAGCCCATCTCATTCCACCCCCTGCCATGGGCAGGAACACCTTCCACCAGTCCCAGGTTGCTCCAAGCCCTGTCCAACCTGGCCTTGGACACTTCCAGGGATCCAGGGGCAGCCACAGCTTCTCTGGGCAACCTGTGCCAGGGCCTCCCCACCCTCACAGACAGGAATTTTCCCCTAATATCCCATCTAACCCTGCCCTCTGGTAGTGGGAAGCCATTGCCCCTTGTCCTGTCCCTCCAGGGCCTTGTCCAAAGTCCCTCTCCAGCTCTCCTGGAGCCCCTTCAGGCCCTGGCAGGGGCTCTCAGGTCTCCCTGGAGCCTTCCCTTCTCCAGGTGAACCCAAAGCAGAGGGGCTCCAGCCCTTGGAGCATCTCCATGGCCTCCTCTGGACTTGCTCCAACAAGTCTGTGTCTTTCCTGTGTTGGTCCCCCATATCTGGAGCAGCTCTGCAGGGGGGTCTCACCTGAGGGGGCAGAGGGGCAGAATCTCCCCTCCCCTGCTGCCCCTGCTGTGGGATCAGCCCAGGGCAGGGGGGGTTTCTGGGTCCCAGCACACACGGCTGGGGCACGTCCAGCCCCTCCGCCAGCAGCCCCACGTACCATGTCAGTGCCGTACACTGGCGAGGTCATCTTGATCTCCCAGAAGTGCTGCCCGTCTGCCAGCTCCTTGTTGCCGCGGATGGCGGCGGTGCCACAGCTGTACTCCATGTGGAAGTTCACCTTGCGGTTGTCACACGTCAGCAGCGTGGCCGTCGACTTGTTCAGGTCATCCCACACCCAGTCGAAATCTGTTGAGGATCACAGAGAGCACAGGGATGGGTAAAGATCCTCAGGGAGCGATCCCCAAGCCAAAGCACAAGGGGGGACATTGTTTTGAAGGCTTGTTGGGGTTTTCATTTGTAGTTTTTTTATTGTTTAAGAGGGTAAATCTTAAGCTGTGAGTTGTTTGAGTCCCACCAGGGATGGTTTAGTGCTTCCAAACTGTCAGCATCCTCCAGTCCCCATTCTGGCTCAGCAGAGCCTCCCTTCTCCTTTCGCTCCCCCTGGGCTCAGGGGTGGCTCTGCCATGCCATGGCTCTCTCAGCCAGCCCAGGTCCACCCTGTGTTCCAAGCACGCCATGCCAGGCATCCCGCCAGCATTCCAGGGATCAGGAGAGCCCTAAGCACCAGGGCCTGTTTCACTGGTGGCCTAAGCTGGATCAGAAAGCAGGTCCCCAGAGGTGAAACACTGACGCCTTAACAGGTTCAGCTCTGAGCCCTGGGAGCACACAGCAGGCACAGGCTGTAATCCCTCTCCATGGCCTGGGGATGTAAACAAAGGAGCAGCACCGTGGGACAGGGGCAGGAGCCGTGCTGGGGTGCAGCCCCTGCCCCCCCAGCGGGCACAGTGGGCACAGGCAGCCCTTACACTCATCCTCCTCCCCGCAGCGGCAGTCCCGGACACGGTGCAGGGCGTGCAGGCTGGAGCAGAACGAGGCCTCACTCTGGCTCTCACAGTTGCAGAAGGACTCTCCTGTCACAGGGATGGCGCTGGGGATGGAGGGAGACAGGGAGGAGAACTCTGGCTCCGAGTCTGAGTCGCTGTGCTGCTGGGAGAACAGGGAACGGTCACTGGGAGAACGGGGAACGGTCACTGGGAGAACGGGGAATGGTCACTGGGAGAACGGGGAACGGTCACTGGGAGAACGGGGAACAGTCCCTGCTGGGTGTCCCCACACGGTGAGCTGGGCTGGCACTGCTCTGCTGTGCCCAGGGAGTGTGGGGACCTCCCCAGGCTTGTGCCACACCACAGGGAGGCTGTGCCCATGGAATTCCCCTGCTCTGGGTCATGGACAGTGTCTGCTGAGCTGCAGGGGCCTTCCAGCACTTACACCATGTGCATGTTCTTTGTGCCTTCCAGGGGCAGGGGCTGTCACAGCAGGGTCACAGCCCGAGTCTGTGACACATTTTTTAAGCAAACTCTGTGCTAAGGCTTTGGCTTTCAGCGCAGGTTCCAGCCAGCTGGAGACCAGCTGAGCACTGCCTGGAGAGCCTGGGGGCTGAGGGGAGCCAGGCAGGCACAAAAGCCACGGAGGAAAAGGGAGAGGAAGGCAGAACAAAGGGGAGCCAGTTCAGCTCCTCAGGGCAGGTGCTGCAGACAGGCCCACAGGGAACCTACAGCAGCATTAAAGGGCTCTTGTTTACTTTCATCCATGAACACAAAAATTTGATTTACTGTTCCCCAGTGCCAGGAGACCAAAGTGTCCCTGCACTGGACACTGTGGGAGTCACAGCCCCATCTTGCTCCTGTGTTATGGGAGGTTTGGTGTTGCCTCTTACCACTATAGGAGCAAGTTTCTCTGGGTTTACACACAGCTCAGGTGGACCTGCTCGTTATTCACCCCCATGGCAGACTTTGTAAGGGGTATTTAACAACAAAAATCCTTTAAACTCTCATTCTTGTAGCTGTGTAAGATGGAGGGAATTGAAATCAGGCTTACACATGTCCTGCCCAGCCCTCCTCCTCTAGCTTGGAGACTCAAGAGAATGAGTTCTGTCTTTGCTAACTTCTAACTTCCCTAACTACTGAAATGCAGTCGTTCCTGTGACTGCAAGAACTGAAAGCTGCTCTGACTGCAGAGAAAATGCTCATTTTCTGGGAGCACAGGGTCTGGGTTTGGACACTGCTCTGGCAGTGTCCTCATGGCTTTGGCCTGGCTCTGAAGCTCCTGGAGCAGCTCCTTTGTGTCCCCACCTCTGCACAGGGAACTCAACTCACACACTCAGAAATTAGGGAAAAGAGTGAAGGATGTGAATCAAAGCCCCTCCTCACAGTGCTTCACTGGCTGCTTTTGCTGCTGTGTTCCCATCTCCAGCACACCTGGATGTGCAGGAAACGTAAGGGCACTTTAATCTGGAGATACCTGAGCCTGTAACTTCCCAGGCTGAATCTGCCCTGCTGCCTCCCAGCCCCACACAGCCCAGGAGGGAGCAGCCAGCTGGACTGGGGAACTGATCCACTTCAAACACATATCTAGAGCTCTGCTTTCAAAAGGATATTTAAGAATGTTGTATGTACTTTATGTATGACAGACACATTCTATGCTTAAAAAAGCTTTGAGCTTACACAGAGCCACAGAATGTGCTGAGCTGGAAGGGACCCACAAGGGTCATCAAGTCCAACCCTGGCCCTGCACAGGACACCCCAGCAGTCACCCCCTGTGCCCCAGAGGATCATCCAAACCCTCCTGGAGCTCTGGCAGCCTTGGGGCTGTGCCCACTGCCCTGGGGAGCCTGTTCAGTGCCAGCCACCCTCTGGGGGAAGGACCTTTCCCTAAGATCCAACCTAAACCTTTCCTGACACAACTTCAGGCCATTCCCAGGCCATCCCCTGTCCCTGGTCCCCCCAGAGCAGAGCTCAGTCCTGCCCCTCCTCTGCCCCTGCCCAGGAAGTTGCAGTGAGGTCTCCCCTCAGTGTCCTCTTCTCCAGCTGAACACACCAAGTGCCCTCAGTGTCCTCACATGGCTTCCCCTCAAGGCCCTTCCCCACCTTTGTTGCCTCCTTTGGACACTCTCTGATAACTTCAGCTCTTTCCTACGTTGTGGTGCCCCAAAACGGCAGGTGAGGCCGCCCCAGGCCAGAGCGGAGCGGGACAATCCCATCGAACATTCCGAAATCTCCTGTGCTTTGGGCCAGTTCTGCTGCTCACTTACAGAGCCCCTGAGCCAGTGCCAGGCAGAAGAACCCTCCCCCCGAGCCCCCAGGCCGTCCTACCTGCCCGTCGGAGTCGTACCCCCAGCCGCGCGTGCCGGCCCTGCCGTCGGCCTCGCGCCGCACCCCGCTCAGGACGAAGTGCCAGGCGCGGCTGCTGCGCGGGCGCCGTGCCATGGTGCTGCCACACAGGTAGGCTGGGGAGAGGCACAGGGTCACACGGGCTGCCCAGCCCACGGCCACCCCCATCACCAGCCTGAGCTGATCCAGAGGAGGCTCCGTCCCCGCAAACCTCAACCTGCTGCTCTGGGCAGGGCCAACTTCCCCCTTCCCCTGAGCCCAGCTGTTCCAATGGCCCCCAGACCCAGCAGTGGCAGCAGCTGCCTCTCTGCAGGGCACGGATCCAGCTCCCCCTCTCCTGGGGAGCCTCGGGGATGTCAGAACCACAGAAGGGTTTGGGTTGGAGGGACCGTAAAGCTCATCTCGTTCCACCCCCTGCCATGGGCAGGGACACCTTCCATCACAGCAGGCTGGGACATGACATGGCCTGGGACCCTCGGGTAGGGTCCTGGCTCTGTGCCCCTGCCCTGCCGTGGCCCCACAGCCCCCCGTGGGTTTGTCTGCAGGAAATGTTTGTCCACCTGCAGCTGGGGAGGGAACATTCTGCCCTCAGCGTTTCAGGCAGGGGAGAAACGAAACCACTTTCCTTCTCACCGGAGGGAACCCAGCCTTGTCCCAGACCTGTCCTGACTTGCCTCACGGGCACAGACAGAAAGGAAGATGCTGCTCAGATTTCCAAAGGCCCCTTCCCTGTGCACATCCTGACAGCTCACACCAGCCCCAGCCACCGCACAGGAGCGCTGCCCTGGATGTGACAGGGAAACCTCAGCTTCCCATCTCATTTCCCTGAAGTTTATCTTTGCAGGGATCAACTCCCCACCGAGAGGCACCCAGGGGTGTAACCCCCCATCCATCCCCTGAAGCTGCTCCCTCAGCTCAGCCCCTGGGGCTGCAGATCCTGCAGAGGGTCAGCCCCAGGCCAGGGCTGCCACAAAGCTCCTGTCCCTGCTCTTCCTGCGCCTCAGTCCTGACTTGGGCCAACAGCTCCTGGAAAAGCAGGACAGGTCGAGCCATGGGCAGTTGTGCAGGTGCCCCTGGATGCTCTGAAGGGCATCCCACCTGCTGAAACCAGAGGGCTTACACCCCTGCCAAGCACAGCCGTGGGGGAAGCACCTACAACCACACCACAAACTCTCTCCAGCTCTGAACAGCACCCACAGCAGCCCAACAGCACACTCTGCTCCCCCAGCCCCCTGCTAAGGTTGGGGCTCCCTGACAGGGCCTGACCACCCTTTCAGGGAAGAAATTTTCCCAATATCCATCTAAACCTCCTCTGGCACAGCTAGAAGCCGTTCCCTCTCCTCCTGTCCCTTGTTCCCTGGGAGCAGAGCCCGACCTCCCCCTGGCTTCCCCCTCCTGTCAGGGAGTTGCAGAGCCAGAAGGTCCCCCCTGAGCCTCCTTTTCTCCAGGCTGAGCCCCCCCAGCTCCCTCAGCTGCTCCTGCTGCTCCAGCCCCTTCCCAGCTCCGTTCCCTCTCTGGACACGCTCCAGCCCCTCAATGGCTTTGTTGTTATGAGAGGCCCAGAACTGCCCCAGGGCTGGAGGTGCCTCAGCAGAGCCAGCACAAGGAGGGCACTGCCCTGGCCCTGCACCAGCGCCAGCACAAAACACCCCTCCCCGCTGCGGGGCCCGGGCCCGCCGAGGCCTCTCCGTGGGCCGGAACCTGGACCGCCCGGCGCCCGCTCCCCGCCCGGCGCCTCCCCACGCCCGGCCCGGCCGCCTCACCGCGGGGCAGCCGCTCCGCTGAGGGCGGCACCGCAGCCCGCGCTCTGCCCGCACCCGAGGAGCGGCCGCGCCAGGCCAGGCCAGGCCAGGCCGGGCCACCGCGCTCGGGCCGCGCAGCCCCGGCCCGGCCTGGGCGCAACCGCGGCGCTCGGCTCCCCCCCGGCCCCGATCCCTGACCCCAACTCCCGATTCTCGATCTCGATCTCGATCCCGGCCCCATCCCCGGTCCCCGCTCACCCCGGCCGGTCCCGCCGCCGCTCTGACCCACTTTCCCCTCCCGGGACATAAACAATCCCCTCCCGGCACCGCCCCCACGGCTCCCATTGGCTGCACCCGCGCCGTACCCCCCTGCCATTGGCTGAACGCCCCGTCACTCAAAACAGCAGGAGGAAGGAGGGGCGGTGTCTGAGGGGAGCCCCACACTATTGGCTGTACAGTGTGTCAATCATCAGAGAGCAGTGCCACCCGCGAGGGAAAACACTAAGTCCATTGGCTGGCAGAGGAGGAGCCAGTGAGCTGGATTGGCTGCGAAGCTCTGGGGGTGGGTTCATCGGCGAGAGCGAGGTCTGCGATTGGGCACAGTGCCTGCCAATCTGAGGGGGCGGGGCTCAGAGCCGGCGGAAGGCGGAAGCGGGCGGGGCGGGCCGGCAGCATGGCCGGGCCGGGCGGTGAGCGGGGCCGGGGGTGAACGGGAGCGGGGGGAGCGGCATGGGGAGCAGGACCCCGGCATGGCGAACGGGACCGCGGCAGGGGAACCGGACACTGGCATGGGAGCGGGACCCCGGATGGGCGAACGCAGGAGCGGGACCGGCAGGAAGCGGCACCGCGGCATGGGAGGGGGACCCCGGGGGTCCGGGCCTTGGAGTAGGGCTGACCGGGCCCAGTGCGGAGTCGGGACCCGCTCCCGGGGAGCTCCGCGGTGCTCGGGCCGGTGCCGCAGTGCTGGGCCCAGTGACCGGAGCCCCTGCCAGGGCCTTGCCGGGGGCCCGGGCCCGGCTCCCGCTGGGACAGCGCCGCGGAACTACAGAGTAACCCCTGCCGCTGGGGGCTCTGGGCCCCAGCCCTCCCCAGTCCCCTTCTCCTCCCAGCCCCTCTCCCTGCAGCTCCCTTCTCCCCTCCCCAGCCCCCTTCTCCCCGTCCCCAGCCCCTTCTCCCCCTCCCAGCCCCCTTCTCCCCCTCCCCAGCCCCTTCTCCCCGCTCCCCAGCCCCTTCTCCCCCTCCCCAGCCCCCTTCTCCCCCTCCCCAGCCCCCTTCTCCTCCTCCCCGTCCCGTTACCGTCGGCGGAGGCGCGGATGAGCTCGGCCATGGTGCGGGCGGGCTCCATGCCCCGGGCCCGGGGGTTGGTGGCGTTGCCCGGCGGTGACGGGAGCCCCGCTCCGACCCTCCTGCCCCGATCCTGCCCGCACCGGCCCCGCGCTGCTCGGACGCGGGGGCTGAGCCCAGAGCAGAGCCCCGGCAGCGCTGACGGCACCCGGGGAACAGCGGGGAGGCAGGACAGGAGCGTGGGACTGGCAGGAAGCGACTGGGGTGACACTGGAGGAAGGAAACGCCAAGGGCCTGAGCTCACCCCAGCCCCGGGCCGAACCGGGCCAGCCCCCGGCGCTGTTCAGGGCTTTGCTGCCCGGTTGGCACTGAGGTCATCGGGACAAGCCGATTCCTCATGGAGGATTTACTGCTGCTGTTTTATTGTCCCTCTTCTAATGGCAGAAGGGCTGTGGCACATCCAGCTCTTCGTTACCCCTCCCTGACACCGAGGGCAGAGCTCAGCGGGGGCTGCATCTCCCCCAGAGGGGCAGCAGCGACCTCTGCTCTGTGTGACCAGGGAATGGCTGGAGCTGTGTCAGGGCAGGCTCAGGGTGGATCTCAGGGAAAGGTTCTTCCCCCAGAGGGTGGCTGGCACTGAACAGGCTCCCCAGGGCAGTGGGCACAGCCCCAAGGCTGCCAGAGCTCCAGGAGGGTTTGGACAATGCTCTGAGGGACAGGGTGGGACTGTTGGGCTGCCTGTGCAGGGCCAGGGATTGGAGTGGATGATCTCTTTGGTCCCTCCAGCTCAGGACATTCCATGATTCCACAATACACTTACAGCAGCCTTGCTGGGGCAGTGACAGCCACTGTCACCTCAGCAAAGCCCATGGCAGGGACTGCTGTCTCTCAGCAGAGGAGACTCTGATGCCTCCTTATCTTTCCTCCCAGAGAGAAGCACCAACCTGCTGGGGGTGAGGCACATCCTGCTGGTGCTGTCGGGGAAGGGCGGGGTGGGCAAGAGCACCCTGAGCACCGAGCTGGCCCTGGCACTGCGGCACCAAGGGCACAGGGTGAGTGGGCTGAGTGGGCTCTGCCTTCCCCTTCCCAGCCTCCAGCTGGGCTGGGGGAGCTCTGCTTGCTGTGTGTGTGTCCTGTGGGAGAGTGGTTCGAGTGATTCTTCTGTGTTTGCAGGGAACGGGGTCAGGTGAGTGAGTTCATTTCTCTTTTACCCAAGAGAATAAAATCACCCAATATTTGCTGGTGGGTTTGAAGTTGAGGCACTGAGAAATTACTCTGCTGGTTTGTAGTGGAACACCCCCTCTCTCTGGGGGGGTGAAGTGGGTGAGCTGAAGGACGCTGGGGACAAAAGGGAACTGTGTGTGCACGAGACAGGCTGAATTCCCTGAGGGTCTTTTTAAAGGCCCTGTGCAGCCAACGCCACTTGGATTGTGGCATAAAGTGCTTGGAAACCCCCAGGAGCTGCTCCTGGGGGGAAGGAGGCCAGGAGTGCAGTCAGATCTAACCCAGTTCTTTGTGAGCAGCCCAGATTTGGGGGCTGCCCCCTCCCAGGGAAGGAGCCTGGGAGCTCCGATCCCACCCTGGCTGTGCTGGTCTCACAGGTGGGGATCCTGGACGTGGACCTGTGCGGGCCCAGCATCCCCCGCATGCTGAGGGTGCAGGACAGGGCTGTGCACCAGTGTGACAGTGGCTGGGTGCCCGTGTTCGTGGGCCAGGACAGGGCCATCGCCCTCATGTCCATCGGCTTCCTGCTGGAGCGGCCGGACGACGCCGTGGTGTGGAGGGGGCCCAAGAAAAACGGTAATGGGGGGGGTTGGGGCTGGGGAAACCTTCCCTGAAACCTTCTGTGAACCCTCCCGGAGGTGCTGATGCCTCCTGGTCGTGCCATTCCTTGTGGGAATGAGGCTCCTGTTCTGCAGGAGTGGGTTCAGCTCACTGGGGTGGGGAGAGTGCAGCATGTGCTGTGCTGACAGACCACCCTGCCCTCCCTCCCCGCGTCCTTGTCACCCAGGGTGCTTCCCAACCCCTGTCCCAGGGCTCTCAGGGCACCTGTTTTGTGGGGTTTTTATCTGCCCCTTTTATTTCATAGCTTTGATCAAACAGTTTGTCACCGACGTGGCCTGGGGGGACCTGGATTTCCTCATCGTGGACACCCCGCCGGGCACCTCTGACGAGCACATCTCCACCGTGGAGGCCTTGAGGCCCTACAGGCTGCTGGGGGCAATCCTGGTCACAACACCCCAGGTAGGACAGGGGGCTGGAATTCCTGGGTGGGCACCTGCTCTGGGAATGGTTCGGGGGGAAATATGTCCCCCAGTGGGTGGCTGCTTCTTCTACACATCTGCCTCCCACTTGATTTCCACCCGCTGTGGACCCCCCAGTTGGTGTGGACAGAGGGCCACCCCCATCCCCGTTGCTCCCCCAGGCCGTGTCCGTGGGGGACGTGAGGCGGGAGCTGACGTTCTGCAGGAAGACGGGGCTGCAGGTCCTGGGCGTCGTGGAGAACATGAGCGGCTTCGTGTGCCCCCACTGCTCCGTGAGCCTCCTCCCCCTGCTGGCACCCTGGCGCTGCTGGGGGCCCTTCCTTGGGGTGGGATGTCCCTGTAAATGCCATGAGCCAGCCCTGTAAATGCTGTGAGCCGGGGAGGGGAGGGGAGGTGCTGCCGGGTCCGTGTGCCAGCTTCGGGAAAAGCCACTGGCTTTGCCCTCCTGAGGAGAACTGGGAAGGGCAGGGACACAGGCCCTGAGAGTGGAGGGTGGAGGGTGGGGAGGAGCTGGCTGTGCTCAGGTGATGCAGCACCTGCTCTGTCACACAGAGCTCTGGAATTCATGACTCCCTGCTGTTCTCCCTCCTCCAGGAGTGCACAAACATCTTCTCCAAGGGCGGAGGGGAGGAGCTGGCCAAGCACGCCGGGGTGCCCTTCCTGGGTGAGTGGCCTCTGGAGCAGAGGCTGTGGGATGCTGGGGGATGCTGTGGGATGCTGGGGTGCAAGGAAGCAGCATCAGGGGGCAGGTGGGCTGGACTCCAGTCCCTGTGAGCCCCAGGCCCAGCTGGGGTGTGGGTCATGCTTTGCTCCTCTGCCATCCAAACTGCTCCCTGTGGGCACCTGGCTGGTGGTGCCAGCAGCCTGCTCTGGCTGCTGACATCGTGGTGACAGGGTAAACGAGCCTGGAGCTGCCCAAGAACCACGTTGGGGTGTCCTGGAGCCTCCCTGAGAAACGGGGGCTGAGGGCTGAACCCTGCCCCTGGAAGGGCTGGGGACAGGGGGGAAAGCACCTCTCCTGAAACACTGGGGTGTGGGACAAGGGGGTCTTGGACCCAGAGGAAGCAGTTGCAGGTGACAATTAGCTCCTGGAGAGTTCTTTCCTACTGATTCTCCTGGAGTTGACTCAGGCAGTTTATTTCTTTAACCCTGACTCCAGACCTTTGCTGTACAAGGAGCAAGCACTCACTCTCCCACTCCTGTCCCACAGGCTGTGTTCCCCTGGACCCCCAGCTCAGCCAGAGCTTGGAAGAAGGCAGAGACTTCATCCAAGAGTTTCCCAAGAGCTCTGCCTTCCCTGCCTTGGCTCACATCGCGCAGCAGATCTTGGCTACGTCACAGCAGAGCTCCTGAGAAGGTTGTGGAGCTGAACTGTTCCGGGCTGAGCCCTGGGCCAGCTGGGACGGGGGATGCAGGAGCTGGTTCAGTCTGAAACTGTCTCACTGAGGGCTGAGGGAGGGAGGGAAAGCACAGGTTCCTGCTGTTCATGGCAGTTCCAAAAGGGAAGTACTGCTCCATCCCCCTGGATCCAAAGAGGCTCTGGAGCTGCAGTGGCAAGTGGCTGTTCTTCCCTCAGTGAACCCACATGACATCAGTGATCCAGATCGTGGCTCCGTGTGCTGCTGCCGCCTCCTGCTTTCCCTGTGGGATGAATTCCACAGCACTTGGTTCAGTGATGGATTACAGGTACTTGGTTCAGTGGCTGAGTCATGCTGGATGCTCCATGTGGACCCAAGCCAGGCCCCCGTGCTCGCTGGTTCCTGATGAGGACACGGCACGTGCTGCACGTGAGGGAACGTCTCCAGGAGCTCTCTCACCTGTGACATCTGCATCCCATCGTGCTGGAAAAGAGGCCTTGGGTCTGTTGGGGGTTATATGGCTCAGGAATATTTTTGAAGGTTCCAGGCAGTAAACACTTTTCTTAAATCCAAGTCTGTGACTTCTGCTTTTCCCGTGGCTTCGGACCCTGTTGTAGGTCTGAGTCTTGGCACTGCGAGCGCTTCATGTACATCCCGGTACTTCCTGCTTTTCCCTGCTTTCCTTGCTGGAATTCAGCTAAATCCCTTCTTCTGTAACAGCTTCAGGATCCAACCTGTCCCTTGTCTTGCTGTGGGGCTGGCCCTGGCAGTCCTTCTTGGGATCATTTGCCACGGGTGTTCTCTACCCCCTCTGCCACACCTGGGGCTCCTCCATGTCCCCAGGTGGTTTCTGCTTCATTGCTCCGAGTGTCCCGTTCCCTGGAGCTCTTTCCACGGGCTGCTGCTCCCTGGGACCTGCCCTCCTCATTACAGGCTTGAGTTAAGCTGAGGAAGCAGATGGAGGTGGTGGCCTTGCATCTTATCTCCCTCTCTCCTGGACTCTGAGCCCCTCCTGCCTCCCTCCCTCTCCATGTCTGGGATTCACCCTCACAGTGAAGTCTCAAGAAGACAGGGAAATTTTCCCACTAACCAGACTGGATTACAGCAGGCAGCCTTTGCTTGGAGGAGAGCAGGAGCACCATCCCCCCCTCCTGCTCCCACTGTGCCTGTGGGACCCACACCTGACCCCGGGTTTTCCCCATGCGCAATTTTCCAGGAAAATTTGTACCTGACCTTTGAACGCTTCTTTGGGATTTGGAGAGCCAGGAGCAGCGCTGGAGTCTGACAGGGCTGCTGGGGGCTGGCCAGGCACCTCCTGCTCCCTCTCTCTGGGCACGTGTCACCCACCCAGAGCTCGTGGGAAATGCTGTGAGCTCCTCACCCCCACCCAGGATCTGCACCCCTCACCCTGAGCGGGCTCTGGGGAGAAACCCCAGCTGGGGGCAGCACGAGCCGTGGAACAAATGTACTTCCAAGAGGGGTTGCAATAGCTCCAAAGGTTTATTTGTCTGCTGCCATTTATCAGGTGAGTGACGTGTGGCTCTCTGCTGCTGCAAGGAATCATTAAAGCAAGTCCTCTGCCCCCTTCCCTGAGCTCGAGGGGGCTTTTAGGATTTCTCCACTGCTCCGTGGCAGGAAGATGCTTTGTTTTGTCCCACAAAAGTCCTGGCCTGGGCAGGGATGCCCCTTGCTGGGGGGGTGAGGGGGGAAAGCATTCCCCCATCCTGGAGGCTTAGAGATGTTCCCACTGGGAACAACTGGGGGCTGCTATTTAAATATTAAAGGGCTGAAATATTCAGTTTGAAGCCCAGGAGCTGCTGCCCATCCAGCACTGCCTGGGTTTGACTCTCCTTATGGTGGCAGCTGGAGGTGGTGGCAAGGCTGGGCTCATCTGGGGTGGCCACAGAGTTCCTGCTGCTGCCCTGGGACAGGGCAGGGAGGTGGCAGGGGAGGATCCCCCATCGGGAACAGCTCATCCCCGGGGAGGGGCCAGCCCTGCTCAGCAGTGAGCAAAGCTCTCCTCGGTGGTGTCCCGCAGGTCCAGCCCTGCCAGGGCCGGGGGGTGCTGGCAGGTGAGGTTGTTGTAGGTGTACACGGGCACCTGGGCGTCGTCCCCCTCGGCCACCGACTGCACGAAGCGCGGCACCAGCGCCGGCTGCCGCAGGGACAGCTCCCGCAGCCCCTTCAGGGAGCAGTTGCAGTGCCAGTTGTTGCCCCCCAGCCACAGCTGCTCCAGGGTGAAGGGGGGGCACAGGAAGCCCACAGAGAAGGTCTCCAGGGAGTTGTTCCTCAGGCTGAGGTACCGCAGGTTGGCCAGGGGGGAGATGACGGTGTTGTCCAGCGTCTCCAGCTGGTTGTGGGAAAGGTCAAGCCAGAAGAGTCTCTGGAGCGGGCTGAAGGTATCCTGGGAGATGTCCAGGAGCTGGTTGGAGGACAGGAAGAGGTACTCCAGGTTGCTCAGACCCACGAAGAGCCGGGGCGAGAGGTGGCTGAGCCTGTTGTGCTTGAGGTCAAGCTCCAGGAGCTCGTGCAGTTCACTGAAGCTCTGGTCCTCGATGAGGGAGATGCTGTTGTGCTGCAGGAAGAGCCGCCTCAGGCTGGACAGCCCGGAGAAGGTGTTTGCTCGGATCCTGCCCACGCAGCTGCGCTCCAGGTGGAGGCTGTGCAGCTTGGTGACCCCCTTGAAGACAAAGTCAGGGAGGACCTTGATGCAGTTGTCAGACAAGTGCATCACTGCCACGTTGTACAGCCCCAGGAAGGCCCCGGCCCTGATGTCCTGCAGCAGGTTGTTGTTGAGGCTGAGAACCTCCAGCTGCCCCAGCCCCTCGAAGGTCCTTTCCGCCAGGCTCCGGATCCTGTTGTGCCCCAGCTGCAGCTCCTCCAGGAACTGGAGGTCTTTGAAGGTCCTGGGCCTCAGGCTGGTGATGGAGTTGGTGGACAGGCGCAGGACGTGCAGGCTCAGGAGGCCCAGGAAGGTGTCCTCGTAGAGCGAGACGAGCCGGTTATGGGACAGGTCCAGCCACCGCAGGGCCTTCATGCCCATGAAGGCGCGGGGGGCGATGGCGTTGATCTGGTTGTGGTTCAGGTACAGCTTCTGCAGCTTCTGCAGCTTGACAAAGATGTTGATCTTGATGCCCTTGAGCGCGTTCCCGCTCAGGTCCAGCTCCTTCAGCTCGGTGAGGCTGCAGAAGAGCTGGTGCTGGAGGTAGGGGAGCTTGTTCCCGGCCAGGATCAGCTCCCTCAGGTTGGGCAAGTCGTGGAACACCTTGTCGGGCAGGACCACCAGCGAGTTCCAGCCCAGGTTCAGGTACCAGAGGTTGGAGAGCCCCGCAAACAGCCCTTCCTCCACCTTGCTGAAGTGGTTGTTGTTGAGGCTGAGGGAGACGAGGTTCTGGGTGTGCAGGAAGGTGTGGGGCGCCAGGTGCCGGAGGCGGTTGCGCTCCAGGTGCAGGTGGTAGAGGCTCCTCAGCCCGTGGAAGGCGTGCTGCTCCACGCCGGCCAGCTGGCTGCTCTGCAGGTCCAGGAAGTCCAGGGCTGACAGGTTCCTGAAGGCAGCAGCTGGCAGGAGGGTGAAGTTGTTGCCGTCCAGCCACAGGGCCTTGGCGGTGGGGGGCACGTCCTCGGGCAGGCGCGTCAGGTTGCGGGCGCTGCAGAAGACGTTGAGCTCCTCGCTGTAGTCGTCCAGGCTGCAGGCGCAGGGGCTGGGGCAGCGGGGCGGCTCCGTGTCCCCCTGCTCCTTCAGGGAGTCCCCCCCGGGGGGCTGGGAGGCGGCGGCCAGCAGCAGGGCCAGGGGGAGCAGGAGGGGGACGCCTGCTGTGGGGGGTGAGCAAAGGAGCCTCGGTCAGTGCAGGGGCACGGCTGCTCTAGGGGACCCCTTTGGGACCCCCCTGCCGGCTGCCTGCGCTGCTGGAGCTGGGCGGGTGGAGGGGTCGGTCCCACCCTTTGCACACGCGGGGCAGCTGCAGCAGTTTCCAGAGGTTGGATCCCTTGGGACAGGGTGCGGGATCACCCCCCGCTCCTGCCACAGCTCGGACTCCTCGGGTGCACGGACCCCCGAATTCATCTCTATACTGCTGTGGCTGCAGCAGCTTCTCCCTTTCACAGGGAAAGGCCCCCCAGTCCCCTCTCCTCCTTCCTCCCCGGCTGCCTCCCCTTAACCTGCTGTTCCTCAGAGCCGGGGGGTCTCTGTGCTGCAGTCCCTGCCCATCCCTGCAGCCCCCAGCCAGGTTTGGGCTCTGCCCTACAGTGCCTGCAAGTCCCCCAGGCAGCTCAGGGGACCCCCAGAACGTCTAATTAGCAGTGGAGGAGGAGAAGTGAGAAGGGTGGCTGAAGCCCCAGCAGAGTTTGAGCGTGTCCCCCAGCCCAAGCCCGGCCCAGGGGCAGGTTCCCCAGCCTCACCTTTGCCTGCGCTCATGGCGACGGGCAGGGCAGCTCCTGCTCCCGCTCCCGCTCCGCTCTCCGGCCCCGCCGCCTGCAGGGATGGATGGAGCAACCACCTTGACGCCTGTCCAGCCACCCGGCCAGGCTTAACCCCACTGCTGCTGGGCTGGGTTTAACTCCACTGCTGCTGGGCTGGGCTTAACCCCGGGCTGGGTTTAACCCCACTGCTGCTGGGCTGGGCTTAACCCCGCTGGACTGGGCTTAACCCCACTGCTGCTGGGCTGGGTTTAACCCCACTGCTGCTGGGCGGGGCTGTGCTGAGCCCCAGGCCAGCCTGGCCAGGGTTAGTGGCACCAGGACAGGCTCCTCGCTGCTCCCCTGGTCTGTAACTGCCTTTGAGGAAGCTCAGGAAAAGGGCATGGAGTGACATGTCCAGGAATCTGATGGAGTGAGGATGGGGATCCTGCCAGAGATGGGGTTTGTGTGGGCAGAGAGCGTGGAGGGAGGGATGGGATAACCTCACAGAGTGTCCCATGACCCTGCCCTGAGCTCCTGGAGGGTCCTGAGCACTGACCCTTCCCTGGATGCCTGCCCTGCTCTTATCCCAGGGATGTCCTGGATAAGCCCTGGCAGTGGGTCCTCGTGCTGCATCAGGACATAACCCCACACCCTGGGGCTTGGAGCATCTGTAGTACACAGACATTAGAGGTGTGGGGGTCATCCTCGGTGTGAGATGGGCTGGAACACCTGAGGGTTAATGGTGATGCAAGTGGAAAATGAGCTGGGAAGTGGGAAAAAGCTCTTCTCTGTGTAGCACTGGAAACCTCAGGGCTGAACCCCCAGACCCCTCCTGTGGGTGGAGGTGGTGCTGGAAGCACCACACGCTTGGCTCAGCATTCTTGTGCCAAAGGGGAAGCAGAGACCATCTCCCACTGGTGAGATGGTGACCATGAGAGTCCCCTGGATGGTGATGGTGGATGGTGCTCCAGGGCTGGCAGATCACACTGTACCCCTGGCAGCTCATCAAAACAACCCTGGGGAGGCTGGTGACCTCATCCTGTGTCCCTGGGCATTTCCCCACCAGCCTCCAACACACCTTCTGTGGAACCTTTTACCACTTCCCAGGGAAGAAAGAGAAATAAAAAGCCCCAGCGAGAGGAGCCTCATGGTCAGTGGCTGCTGGATGGAAAAGCCATGGCCAACCCTTCCCCATGTTCTGGTAGCTCTGTTCTTCCCTGAAGATGAAGTCTGGCATCATTCACCTCCAGGAACAGGTATCTCCCACCAGTGTTGTTCTTCCCAGCACTGGTTCCCCCCATGCTGGAGGCAGAGCAGGGATGCTCTCCACCACCACCTCCCCCAGATCCAGTTCCCACCAGGCTGGTTTGGGAGGCAGACAGGGAACAGGGAAGCTGTCCAACACCAGTCCCACACCGTGGGTACCCCCACCATGCCTGGCCTCTCCCCCCAGCCCCACAGGCCACATCTCAGCTCTTCACCGCTGAACTCAGGCAGTTCCATGCCCATGGGAAGAGGTGTTGGAGAGAGAGACATCCAGGCTCCAGCCTTGCAACACAGCTTTCCCACAGGCACTGCTTTCTCCCTTCCCTTTTGGCCCTGAGTGCCATTCTCCTCCCCCTCTATTTTAATCCTCTCTTCTGGGAATTTATAGATCAGAAGGGAGAAACGCGGGATGGGGATACACTCACCCACTAATAGGCACTGAGCACATATTGACACAAGGTGTAATCAATCTGGAAGCTAAAAAGAGCTGAGCCAGCACAGCTCAGCCAGCCAAAACCCACAAACCTCTGTGGGAAGTTTAAACGAGCCCTGCCTGTGGCTGGGAGCAGGTTTATCCCTGCCTCCAGCAGCCCTCTCTGGGAAAATGTCACATGAGATG